TTGATGGTTCTGGATCTTCTGATGAATCTCTTCTCTTTCTCAAATACATGGTCAGGTCATTGTGCCCCTTCTCTAATTAGTTTTTGCTCTGACACACAACCCTTGTTCCCAAAACAAAGACATTTTCAGACTAATCACTGATATAAGCAAATAAGGCAGCAATAGCTGGCACGAGAGCATTAATCACTGATCAAATACTGTTGTGCTGAAGTTAATTGTCCAACACCTTCCCCCATCCTGCACAAACCCTTTGTAACCAGTTTGGTGTCACCGTGGTGGCTGTGCCATGCAGTGACTGTGGCCTTTTCCCTGTGCACAGGGGGATGTGGGCGGTGCCCGGACGCTCCAGAAGAAGTGGACGACATTCTTGAAGGCCCGTTTGGTGTGTTCAGCCCCGGAGCAGCAGCTCCACTTCAACCGGCTCCAGGCCGTGTTCACCCTGCCTGGGGCTGAGTGGCAGGAAACCACCTTCTTTGGGGTGTTCCAGGCCCACTGGTGAGTTCGGGGGAGTGTGGCATGCCAGGGATCCCCAGAAGTGGGGGGTTCCTGCCCCAAACCCTCCTGTGCCTGCAGGGGGGACGTGGATGTCTCGGCCATCTGCCGGTACCACATCCTGGAGGTGAAGAAGGCATTTGAGGGGCCCTACAAAGAATACCGGGAGCAGGCGCAGAGGTGGGGCCGCTACTCAGATGAGGTGCCCAGCCCCAGGCCCGGAGCGGTGAGTGGGCACTGGGGACTGGGGCGGAGGGGTGGGATCCATCCATGTGGCTGAGGGCCATCAGTGCCCTCCTAAGAGGGTTTGGGATCCCTCCCGCTCCTGACAGTGCCCCTGTGCCCTCCCTGCAGTGCATCACAGACTGGCACCGGCAGAACGGCTTTGCCAGCTCCCTGGAGCTGCCCGACAACACCCTGAACTTTGCCAAGAAGCACCCACTGATGGACGAGCCAGTGCGGCCGCAGCGCGGGCGCCCACTGTTGCTCAAGAAGGACTCCAATTTCACCCAACTGGTTGTGGATCGTGTGGCTGGGCTGGATGGCACCATCTATGAAGTGCTTTTCATTGGCACAGGTACCTGGGGCAGATGGGAGGGCACAGAGGGGACGGTCCATGCTATGGCACAGCCCTGAGCACCTGCCCTGCTCACAGGCAATGGGTGGGTGCACAAGGCACTGGATTTGGGCACTTCCATCCACCTGGTGGAGGAGCTACAGGTGTTCGAGCCGGCACAGCCTGTGGAGAGCCTGGTGCTGGCTGGGAGGAAGGTGAGTGGGGCTGCAGGGCCAGGGGTGGCACCGTGGGGCACCTTGGGGCAGGGTCATCTCAGCCCAGGTGTGGCACTGTGGGGACACCTCAGGTGGGGTCACCTCAACCCAGGGGTGGCACCATGGGGGCACCTCGGAGTGGGGTCACCTCAGCCCTTTTCCCTGCCCTCGCAGAAGCTGCTCTTCGCCGGCTCCCGTTTCCAGGTGGCCCAGCTACCCCTGGCCGACTGTGGGCGGTACCAGTCGTGTACTGACTGTGTCCTGGCACGGGATCCCTACTGCGCCTGGAGCCGGAATGGCAGCGCCTGTGTCTGGATTGATGGGCAGAATGGGTACAGGATGGGCTGGGGGATCTCTCATCCAAAACTTTCTCATGGGAGGAATTGGAGGGGCAGCTCCATCTCTGTGATCAGTGACAGGACCCTGGAACAGCTGGAACTGTGCCAGGGGAGGTTTAGGTCAGATACTGGGAAAAGGCTCTTACGCTAGATGGCGGTTGGGCACTGAACAGGCTCCCCAGGGCAGTGGTCACGGCCCCAAGGCTGCCAGAGCTCAAGGAGTGTTTGGACAACGCTGTCAGGGACAGGGTGGATTTTGGGGTGTCCTGTGCAGGGCCAGGTGTTGGACTGGATGATCCTTGTGGGTCCCTTCCAATATTCCATAATTTTAGAAGTTGGAGAATGTTTAGGCAGTGCTCTCAGGTGTTGGGATTTGGGGACTGGGGGGGACTTCTGGGGGTGTCCTGTGCAGAGCCAGGAGCTGGACTCATCCTTGTGGGTCCTTCCCAACTCAGGATATTCTGTGGGTATGGGGCTCCCCTGGAAGGGGGCGACACCCTACAAGGACCCCCCCTCACTGCACTCCCTCCTCCCACAAGGTCCCACCTGGTGCAGGACGTCCTGAGTTCCGACACTAGTGCCTGCTCCATCCCTCAGGCAGCCAAACAAGGTGAGCCCGCCGTGAGCCACATGGGTCCCCCATTCCTCTTCCCCCCTCTTCCTCCTGACCCCCCTCTCTCCTTACAGGGCCACTCACCCCCAAGAACGTGACGGTGGTGGCAGGCACCGACCTGGTGCTGACGTGCCGCCTGGGCTCCAACCTGGCGCGGGCGCAGTGGACGTTCGAGGGTCGTGCGCTGCCGGCCGAGCAGGCGCTGGTGCTGAGCGACACACGGCTGCGGGCACTGGTGGTGCCGGGCGCCGGTGCCCAGCACAGTGGCACATACCGTTGCCTGGCTGAGGAGCAGGGGGCCCCCCTGGGTGCCCAGGAGTACCGGGTGGCTGTGCTGGCGGGGCCCAGGGTGCCACTAGAGGCACGGGCGCCGCTGGAGAGCCTGGGCGTGGTGTGGGTGCTGGCTGTGTGCCTGGGTGCCCTGTGCCTCGTACTGCTGCTTGCCGTACTCTCGCTGTGGCGGCGCCTGCGTGAGGAGCTGGGCAAGGGCACCAAGGCCATCGAGAGCACCCTGGTGTACCCCATTGAGCTGCCCAAGGAACCGCCCAGCCCCCGCTTTGTGTCCAGCGCCACCTCCGACTCGGACGAGAAGCTCTGGGACCCCTCCAGCTATTACTACTCAGACGGGTCCCTGAAAATTGTGCCTGGCCACGCCACCTGTCGCAATGGCGGCCCTGGCACCGCCACCTCGCCGCCCGCTGCCATCCCTGGGCAGCCCCTGCACTCGCCCACCCGCATCCACCTGGGCCCCCTGCGTGGCTCCTCGTCCAACGGGTACATCCGGTTGGCGCTGGGCGCCGAGGAACGCCCACCCTGTGCTGACCTGGCTGAGGAGCTGCGGCGGAAGCTGCAGCAGCGCCAGCCCCTACCTGACTCCAACCCCGAGGAGTCATCAGTCTGAGCTGGAGGGAGTGGCACCACCTACCTCAGGGCCCCACCCCAGACCCTAGGGTGGGCACCCTGGCCTAGGGACTGGCACCGGCACCCAGTTTGGGGCTGGGGGGTGGGTGCTGGCACCTGCCCTGGGGACAGGATTGTCGCCTCAGTGCCAGTACCCACCTTGGGAACTGATATATTGGCACAGGTACTTGCCTTGGGGACAGGGTTGCCACCCTGGTACCCATTTTGGGGACAGGATTGTCACCCTGGTACCAGCACCCACCTTGGGGACAGGATTATCAGCCCAGTGCCAGTACCTGTGTTAGGAACTGACACACTGGCACTGGCACCCACCTTGGGGACAGGAGTGTCACCCTGATGCCAGTCCCCCACCTTGGGGACAGGATTGCCACCTGTCTTGGGACTGTGGCTCTGGCCCTGTGTCACATTTAGGGCACCAGTACCTGCTTTGGGAACAGGACTGGCACCCCAGTGGCACCACCCGCCTTGGGGCACTGGCACCAGAACTATATCATACATTTGGGGCACTGGCACCCACCTTTGGGGACAGGAGTGTCACCCTGAAGTCCGTAACTGCCTTGGGGACAGGATTGTCACCTGGTACCTGCCCTGGCAATGGGATTCCTATCCTGATACCATCTTGGTGACAGAAGTGTCACCCTGACACCCACCTCGGGTTGTCACATTTGGGGTCCCAGTGCCCATCTTGGGCCCCGGAGCTGCCCCTGGTCACCGCCCCCGCCTTCAGTACCATGTCCCCCACGAGGGACAGACCTTGGGGACCCCGCCTCCCCTGGGCCCATGCCCCGGTGGCCCCAGGATGTTTTTTGGGCTGATTTCTGAACCGATCGAGTTTTTCTTCCTGAGAACTTTTCTATTGCCCCCACCCCACTGTCCCACCTCCCAGGGCTCTGCTTCCCCCCCAACCCTGGCTGTACATCACCTCCCAATCCTCCGCCTGCCCCCCTTGCACGGACCCCGCCCCTTTTGTATAACCCCCCCGTGTAATTTATTTGTTACCGAAATATATTTATTTGCTGTAAATACGTGAGTATTTTTATATTAATAATAAAAGGAGTTGAAAATATGGATTCTCTGAAAAGTGACACCCACAGGGGCCGTGGCTGGTGCTGGGGGGGATGCAGGGCCCCCCCCCCCGGTTGCTGAGTTCATGGAAAAAGGCTCATAAAAGGGCTATAAAAGGGCATCGTGGTGTCGTTCCCAGGCGGGGGGGCCGGGGCTGCCCGTGCCCCCCCTCCCCGGATGCGGGGGAGTCAGCGCGGGGGGGTCCCCGGGGAGGCTCTGCTGGGAAACCAGACGGAAGCAGAACCAGGATGATGAGGAGCTGGGGCGGGGGGGAATTAGGGGCTTGGGAACGGGGCCAGGGGTGGCACCAGGGCGTGGGAAGTGGGGCTGGGGGTCCCTGAGCCCCCTGGGGTGGGAGGGTGAGGACTGAGGGGAGGATGGGGTTTGGGATCACAGAGCCAGGAGGGGAGAGGTCTGGGAACCTCCTAAGTGTGTGTTGGGTGATTCCTGTGCCAACTAAAGTAGGAAGGGGTGACACTTGGGACCCCGGGAGCCCTGACACTCCCATAACTGGGGAGAGGGACTCTTGAGATCCCAATTGCTGAGTGGGGGGGTGAAGCTTGGGGACCTCACAGCTGGGACAGAAGCCTGGGGACCTCATAAGTGTGTGCGGGTGGTCCTTAGGCCCCCATAGCGCGGAGGGGGTGACCCCTGGGTCCCCCACGGAGGGGGGAGAAGCGGACCTTCCATAACAGGGAGCTTGGAGGCCCCGCGGGGGCGGAAGTGGTTGCTCAGCACAGGGCGGGCGCGGGCGCCCTCTGGCGGCGGCTGCGGGGCACTGCGGGGGAGGGGGCCTTTGCCTCGGGGGCGGGGCCGCTGGGCTGCATTCGGCCCTTTCCGTGTTACTTCGTCCTTTGCCGTCATCTTCGGTCCTTTCCGTTTTCCCTCGTCCCTTTCCGTGTTACTTCGTCCTTTGCCGTCATCTTCGGTCCTTTCCGTTTTCCCTCGTCCCTTTCCGTGTTACTTCGTCCTTTGCCGTCATCTTCGGTCCTTTCCGTTTTCCCTCGTCCCTTTCCGTGTTACTTCGTCCTTTGCCGTCATCTTCGGCCCTTTCGTCACTCTTCGTCTTCGGCCCAGCAGTCCCCAGGTCCCTCCGGTGCCCCCGGGGACATGGCCGGGGGTCGCCGCTCCCCGCCCGGTCCGTACTGCCCGGGGCAGGGCGCGATGCCCGGTTCTTGCTGCCCGGGGCCGGTGGCCGTTCCCAGCGTACACCAGAGCCTGGCCGAGATGGACTTCGAGCGGGGTCCGTGGGGCTCCGGGGGTGCCGGCGGGATGGGTGGAGGTGCCGTTACCGGGAGCGTACGGGGGGGCTCTGGGCAGGGGTACCCGGTACCGGTGGTCCCAGGGCAGCCCCGTAGGTCGGTCCCGGCCTGACTTGGCCCCGCTGCCCGCAGGGATCTGGGCGGCCGCGCGGGACGGAGACGAGCCGCGGCTGCTGCGGCTGCTGGAGCGGCGCGAGGACCCCGGAGAGCCCGACCGGGCGGGGTACACGGCACTGGTACGGGGCTCTGACGGTCCTGGGGGGTACACGGCTGGGGAGTTCGGGGGGGGGGCACTACCTGGGGGGGCACACGGCCCCTGGTACGGTGGGCACGAGGGGGTCCCGGGGGTCAACCTCGCGGGCACCCCGGTATGGGGGGCCCGGGGATCCCGGCCCACCTGCCCACTCTCTTCCCCCCTCCATCCCCAGCACTACGCCAGCCGAAACGGGCACCTGGGGGTATGTCGGATGCTGCTGGAGCGGGGGGCTCCCTGCGACGCCCGGACCCCCGGCGGGGCCACCCCCCTGCACCGCGCCTGCTATTGCGGCCACCTCGCCGTGAGCCGCCTCCTGCTCCAGCACGGGGCCGACCCCGCGGCCACCGACGGCGACGGGCGGACCCCCCTACACAAGGTAGGGGGGCATGGAGGGACCCTCTGTCCTTGGCACTGAACAAGGTGGAGGGATTACAGGATGGAGAGACCTCTTGCACAGGGTGGGAGAGGGGCAAAGAGGGTCCCCCTGTCCCTGGCACTGCACAAGGTCAGCGGGGGGACACGAGGGGAGGGATCTCCTGCACAACCTAGGGGTTGCACCGAGGGAGAACCCCTGCACAAGGTGGGGGGCGATACAGGGGGTCCCTTCTCTCACATAAAGTGGGTGGGGGCCCAGGGTCTCCCCTCCCATGGCATGACCTGCACAAGGTGGTTGGGGGACACAGGAGTGTTCCACCTGCAGAAGGTGGAGGCCCTGGGGTCCCCTCTCCCCCTCAAGGCAGTGCTCTTTCTCACCCAAGGTGGGTGGGTGGCCCGGGGGGGTTGTCTCTCTGTCCCTGTTGGGATCACACGAGTGCCTTCTCAGGCAGCAGAGCAGGGGCACCGTGAGCTCTGTGCACTCCTCCTGCGGCACTGCCCAGCTCTGGCCACACTCCAGGATTCCAGGAGCCGCCTCCCACGGGATGGGGCCCACCCGGACGTGTGGGACCTGCTGGACACCTGAAGGCCACCTGGAACAACCCCTGTGGGACACCTGGAGCCACCCCTGTGGTGGAGGCATCTCCAATGGACAAACACAGCCCATGGCACCGACTCTGTCCCCTTGTCACCTGTGCCAGGGGCCAGGGTGGGGGGAGTCACACCAGGATGGTGGTGCAGACACCCCTCCGCCTTCCAGGGACTTTGTTTCCTAAAAAACCCACTAAAAATGTGGAAAACAGTCTGTTGGAACAGTAAATTCCACAGGAGGTGGGAGGCCTCTGGTGCTTCCTCCTGGGGTGGCTGGGAGGGAACAGCAGCTGCTCAGGGGATTCCGGGGGGGGGGGAATCCACATCCCACTGTGGGGGGAGGCAGGGACAGGAGGACCATGGATGGAACCTTGTCCTTCAGTGGTTGGGCACTGATCCTGCTTATCCAGGATCTCCAACAGCACCTTTTCCTCCCTGACCTCAGAGAAAAGTCTCCACCTTTGTGGGTGCCTAGGTGGGACTTCATGGAATCCTCAAATGGTATAGGTTGGAAGAGACCTTAAAGCCCATCCAGTCCCATCCCCTGCCACAGGCAGGGACACCTTCCACTAGATCAGGTTGCTCCAAGCTCAATCCAACCTGGCCATGAACACTTACAGGGCTTGGGCAGTGCTGGGTGCCACACCTGGGATTCCCTCCCTGAATCACCAGGCCCCCCAACCCCTGCGAACCACGGCAGAGACCCACGTACAGATATAGACTTTTATTACCCATCTGGCAAAAAATCTCTCAAAAAACGCCCAGGAAATAAAATCCCACGGTTGTTTTACAACCAGGAGGGGGCAGGGGAGGACTGGGGAGGGGTAGACCCTGGCATCTCCCCTTCCCCCCACTGGGCCCTACCTTCCCCAAACATACAAATCAAACCTGAACAATAAATAGGAATTCCCAGGGGAGGGGTTAGGGGTTTGCATAGAGGAAGATTTAATTAAAAAAAGGCTTTTTTTTTTGTCCTGGCTTATTATTATTAATTATCATTATTATTATTATTAATTATTATTATTATTCTCTCTAAAAATGTCCCCCCAGAAGGACCTCTAGGAACTGATCGTCGAGACATGATTAACAAAAATAATTAATTAACCTTCTCCCAATAACTTAGAGAGTTCAAACCAGGGAACTTGTGCTTTTTTTAGTGGGGGGGTCTCCCCCTTTCCCAAAATTGGGAATAAACCCCGAGGGAAGGGGGTCCCGATGGCTTTGGGGGTCCCCCGGTGCCAGGGGGGGACACGCGACCCCCTCCTGCCTGTACAACTTTGGTCACTAGCACTGTGTCACCCCCAAAAAAACCCCAAAACTGGGATCCTGGTGCACCCCCTCCGCTCCCCTCCCCCCCACCCCCGTACCAATCCCTGACCCCCTTCCCCGAGACCCCCTATGGTGGGGGGAAGGCACCAAAACCCCCCCGGGGGGGGTCCCAGGGAGATCCAAGCCCATCCCTATGTCCCCGGCCAGCAGGAAAGGGGGTTGGGAATGGGGAGGGGTTGCAGTACAACCAGGGGGTCCCTGACACCAGAAACACCCCAGAGGGGCAAGAACCCCCATCCGGGGGGGGGGGCTGAGGGGCTGGGACCTCCATCTCAGGGGTCCCAACGTGGTGTAGGAGTCCCAAGGGCTCGGGACCCCCATCCCAGAAGGGTGTATTAGTCCTGAGGGATCTGGGATGCCCATCCTGGGGGTACCACAGTGGTGTAGGAGACCCCAAGGGGCTGAGATTTCCATCCTGGGACCCCCCAAAATGGTGTGGGATTGGGACCCCCATCCGAGGCTGGTGTAGGAGCCCTGAGGGGCTGAGATTCCCATCCCAGGGGATCCCAAAGGGCCGGGATGCCCATCCCACGGTCCCACCGTGGTGTAGGAGAGCTGAGGGCCCAGAACCCCCATCCCAGGCTGGTGTAGGAAAGGGAACATCCATCCCATGGATCCCAGTGTAGTGCAGGAGCCCTGAGGGGGTGGGATGTCCATCCAGGGGGTCTGAAAGGGTCAGGACACCCATCCCGTGGATCTGAAAGGGCCAGGACATCCATCCTGAGGATCCCAAAGGGCCAGCCCATCCATCCCAAGGGTCTTGAAGGGCCAGAATGTCCATTCCAAGGATCCCAAAGGGCAGGGACATCCATCTCCAGGGTCCTACCGTGGCAAACAAGACCCCAACGTCCCTGAGCTGTGTGGGTGGTGCCGGCGGTGCCTTTGGTGCCACCTCCACCGCTGCTCCAATCAATCCCAAAAAAAACGAGCCAGCCTGGAAACAGCAGCAAATTCCAGCTCCTCCATTCTTCACTGTGCTGTTGTCACTCCTCCTGGCTCATATTCCAGTGGCAGCCAAATCCTGCCGGGATGGAGGTCCCTGCACCGAGCACGCCCCGGGCCCTCCGGAGCGTGCCGGCGCTGGCCGGTGTCAGACGTTGTTCTCCATGGAACTGTGGTTGCTCCGGCGGCCCTGGCAGTTCCTGTCATTCAGGAGGCTCGTGGTCTCGTCTGCAGGGGCCGAAGGCTCCGGTCTCTCCGGATTGTCGGGGCCCGGTCTGGGGGAGTTGCTGTTGCTGTCAGGGGACTGGGGACAACTGTCCATGCGGGAGGCCGTGAGGCCATTCAGGTATTCCTGGCGTGTGATCTGGGCCGGGGAAAAACAGGGATGAGGGAGGGATTCCTGGTGTTTCCCTGTCTCCATTCCCACTGTTTCTCTGTCTCCATTCCCACTGTTTCTCTGTCCCCATTCCCACTGTTTCTCTGTCCCCATTCCCACTGTTTCTCTGTCCCCATTCCCACTGTTTCTCTGTCCCCATTCCCACTGTTTCTCTGTCCCCATTCCTGATGCTTTGCTGGTCCTAATGTTTCCCTGTCCCCATCTCTATCCCTGGTGTTTCCCTGTCCTTCTTCCTGGTGTTTCCCTGTCCTTCTTCCTGGTGTTTCCCTGTCCGCCTTCCCAGTGTTCCCTTGTCCCCACTCCTGCCCACCTTGACGAACTGGAGGTCTGTCAGTGCCCGGAGGCTGAAATCAGCCACGTACTGATTCCCAGTCCCGCTGAGCTGGTTGGTGCTGCCACTCACGGCCGACGACATGGACTCGGAGCGCTCATGGTTGCTCAGGGAGGCCGAGCGGGCCAGGCCACTTCCACGGGATGGGGACCGGAATTCTGGAGGATCAGAGGGGTGGGGTGAGACCCCAGAACCCCTGGAACTGGGAAGAGACTACGCAGCACTGGGGAGGGGGCTGGGAGCTCAGCCCCGTCACAAGGGCCAGGACCTACATCCCAGGGCATCCCACACCTGTCCCAGGGCACCCCAAGGTGGTGCAGGAGCCACCCCATCCATGAGGCTCCATGTGTGGCTACTCAAGGACTCCAAAGCTGGGTAGTGGGATTCAGCCCAGGTGTTCCTGTGGACACACTGCCCAACCCAGGGAGCACCAACGGGGCTCAGAGCCTCTGGCATCTCCCACCTGCAAGCCCTATCTTAGGGAGTATCCTGAGGGATCAGGGGGGGTCTTACCAGATCCAGGAGGGGGGCTGAGGGCCATCACCCCATAGTAGGTAAACGGTCCCGCCTCAAACTTCATGCACTCCCTGCCAGCCTCCACCTCCACCTTGCCCTGCCAGGGGAGACATTCCATAATCCACATCCTTAGGGATGAGACCCCTCCTCTCCCCACAGCATTCCCAGGGGAATGGAGGCCCCAGGAACCTGCCAAACCTGCAGGATGAGGATGAAGTAGTCAGCAGGCTTGTTCTTGCAGTAGAGGTAGTGCTGGGGGGATTTCTTGTCCTCCTCGTTGAACTTAAGCTCCTGGATGACATCAGAATACCCAAGGAGCCGCAGCAGGATCTTCTCTGACATGAGGGTGGGGCTGAAAAGTGGCACCTCTGGGAGAAAGAAAAGGGGTCACACATGGTTTTGTCCTTCCAGCGGTAGGTGCAACCTCCCCAGCCCCTGGAATGGTGCCTGGGATGGGAAGGGCTCCATCAACAGCTCCCTTTGGGAAAACCCATGGATCCAGCTCCAGGTCCCCAGCAAGGGCATTATTCCCTTGGGACAGGATCATCCTGGAGGTCCCCATCCAGATCATCCCAGAGGGACAGGGCCCTGTCAGAGGCAGGTCTGGCATTCCCAAACCTCATCCCTTCCCATTTTGGGCGAGGGGGAGGCAGAGTGAAGGAAAGCAGGACAAGACCCATAATTTCTCCATGAGATGGTTGGAGCAACTTGGAGTCTCCAGGGCCGGAGCTGGCACAAGAGGACACAGGCACACACCGAGCCCATCCCGCTCCATTGTGGGTTTCCCTGACCCACAGGGAGCTCCCCGTTCCCAAAACTCACCAGTCAGGAGGAACCTGTGGGCAGCCAAGAGGAGCTGAGGGGATACCTTGACCTTTTGCTCGCTGACGGGGTCCTTGAAGGCCGAGAAGTCCCTCCTGTTCTTCTGGTTGGTCACACGCTTCCGGCTGCGGTTGTCGACTGTGGGGGGCAGGAGTCAGCTCTGGGGGGGCTGGCAGGACCCCTGGCACGGGGTGGAGGGAGGATCGGTCCAGGGTGGGTGGGAACAGCCCATGGGGGGACAGGAGCAGCCCATAGGGGGACAGGATCTCCCCATGGAAGGACAGGATGATGGGAAAGGGGGAAGCCCCAATACCTACTGTAGGTGTCAGACTCATCCAGGATCTCGGACTTGATGATCTCCTCAATCACATCCTCCAGGGTCACCAGCCCCAGAACCTCGTAGAAGGGATCCCCCTCCCCCTCGTTGTTCACCTTCTGCACAATGGCCAGGTGGGATTTCCCTATGGATACACAGAGATGTTGGAATGCGAGACACCCCAACACCCTGGGATGTCCCTGGGCCCGGCCCTTCCCTCCCCAGAGCAATAAACCAATTCAAATCTAACAATAAACCAATTAAAACCTAAATATTAAACCAGTTAAAACCTAAACCAGTTCAAATCTAAACAAGCCCTTGGGTTGGGCTTGGCTTCCAAGGTAATTAAGCCCAGGATGGTAATTAAGGCTAGGACTGAGGTGCCTTCCAAGCTGAAGTACCTGGGAGCTGCCTTGGGATGTGGGATTGGCTAAGGGCACCCCAGGGGATGAGATGACACCAGAGCAACCATGTCACCACCACCACAGCCACCAGGAATTGTGTTCCACCCAGAATTCCTTTCCAAAATTCTTTGGCAGCTCTTCCAAGCTGATCCCATCCCAGAGGAAATGCTCTGGACACCTGGTGTC